ATCTTTCTTATCAGATAATCCTGTATGTGTTGATTTGTGATACAGGAAAAACTAAGACTGTGCTTAAGTTTGAAATGGAACATTGATCTTTACTGTAATGCTTAAACTTGAGGTTCTTTATTTTATAACACTGACTGTACTTAGGATTTGCAGGATATTTGAATTAGCAAATGCAGGAACAATATGCAGAAAAAAGAATATGAAACTTCCCCGTTCTTGGGAGCAACTTTTTCATTAGATAATCATGTTACATTAAAATATTCCCAAGGAAAAAAATGTTCATTACATATTAATTTCTGTTAATGCTATGTTAAGTGTATTGCTGCAAAATAAGCATGTTTATGGTAATGTGTTTTAATAAGTGCAGTATAGCGTGTAATTATGTGATCAGGCCTAGAAGGCTGCATAATTATGTAAATGGTGTATTGGCTTTTGTAGATGTTGACATCATGAATCCGGATGAAAAATCAATCATGACTTATGTGGCTCAGTTTTTGCAATACTCTAGGAATTTGTGTGAGTCTGAAGAAGACATGCAGGTACGTCATGCAGCTTATCACTGAGGTGTTCTGCAGTGAATGTGCATCATGGATGCCAAGAACATCAGTACTTCCTTTGCCCTGTTTATAACCTCACACAGTAACAGCTAGATGGCAGATCCTCTGATTCAGCCTTTGACAGGCCTGAACTGACCTGAACTTTCTGATGGTCCAGTATGGTTGTCAAGACTCAGTGTGATAGATTTTTGATGGTACAGGTGGAATTGCTGTGCAGGTTGCCTTGATTTTTTCACTTAACTATTATAGAGGACATCTTCAAGCCTGGTTGTCTTCATGTGTGCTATGAAGTCTGTAGGTAAATACTGGGGTAGAGGCAGACAGATTTGCTAAATGTGGAGAACAACCATCTTTAAATTCAACAGCTACCATGTAAAGTGGACAGAATTTCTCTCACAGATCGCACTGGTTAGAAAACCAAGTTTTCTGTCCTCTGTATTCTCCTTCTGAAAGTTTGTGTATTAGTTGGTTATTCACATATCTCCATCCTGATAATCTCTTTCCACTAGGACTGCAGTCAGACTCCTCTTTTAAGCTGCCTTCTTATATCCAGGTGCCAGGTTTAAAACTTCAGCCTGGTTCTGTCATAATGCCTGACCCAAAATTCATTAGAGTCCCCAGGAATTACTATTGGTTTTTCAATAGCTTTGAACGGGATTTGTCATGTGCTCCATGTGTGTTGTTTTATGGCACAATGTAAATTAAAACAAGGCTTGCAAAATGGAAAAATGAAATTTTCTGCTCTAATTACCAGGAAAAAGTAAGGGAGGCCCTGAGCTGGTTGGCTGCACAGGAGAAGAAGTTAGCAAAGTTGCTGATTGACACAGAGAATGAAACGTATTACCAGAAATACAAAGTAAGTTGCATTTCATATTTAACAGTTTCTGCAAAAATAAGCTGTTTCTGGGAATATTTTAAATAGTTTTCATCTTCATTTCCTAAATTGAAGCGTTAAATAAACTTTTAACAAGAGTTGGAAATCTGACAGTGAATTTGGTAAATGCCCTCATATAATTGAGAGAAGGGCAGGATAAAATTATTTTTGTTAGGAAAAAAGTACATGCTGCTTGGTTTCTGAGGAGAGCATGGTTGGTTTTTTTTTTTTTGGAGAGAATGAAGTAGTGTCTTTTAATTAATTTCCATAGTTAAAGACCTGGACAAGTTTCAAGCACACAGGCCCTTTACAGCATTACCTTTGCCATTTCTGTGATAAAAACCGTAGGTTTTACCTGTCTAATGTTGTAGAGGTGTAGTCAAAATCTTGGCTATAGACAGTGCTGAAATAAAATTTCCTTTGTTTCATATTTAGCCAGAGTTTGTCATAAAATGGCCCATGGGGGACTGTGAGCGGAGGAGTTGTCATGTTGTCTTGGTGGGAGGGGAGAACTATGTCTGACAGGACTGACATTATATGAAATACAGAGTTTGGTGGGAATAGCACCTGTAATTTCCAACCCAAATATAGCCTGGAGTCAAGCATGCCTCTTCCCTGCTACCTTGCTTTTCCATGCATCACACCCTTTGAAGTTAATGGAAGTCATACCAGTGTGTTCAAAGGCAGTACTTGGCTCTATGAGCTTCCATCTAAAATCTCCTTCTATGAATTACTCTTCCTTTTTATCCCTAGGAAATGATGTCATTTATGGAAGCATTTAACCAAGAAAAGAAACCCTTTCTGCCTGTGTTGTCATCAAAAATAAGAGACGCCGAGCTGAGCAAAGGCCATCAGCAGATGAGAGAAGAGTGGGACAAACTGATCTCTCAGGTCAGAGACATTTGTAGCTCACCTCATTACCAGTGTGAGTGTGTTTGTTGAAGAAGCCTGAGTTTACCCTGGGAACTTGCACTGGGAAAAGTGGGGAGGTGAAAGAGACATTGACCCTGAACCTGAAGTCCAGACAAAGCGAGTGGTGTAGAGTGTCCAAGAGGAGGCAGAAGGTGACTGTGCATTACCCTACTCCCTCCTGAGCCTCAGGACTCTGAGATGGCTGCAAAAAATAGCCTGCATCTGGTTATCTTTGAGCACTCCTCTGATGGAAGTTTTTATCCCATTTGTGTTTAAAACATTCTTTTGGTACATAATTGTGGCTCAGATAATGATGCAGCTGGAAGAAGTGTGTTAATATATTATTTCCGGTGGCATGAAGTTGCTGTAGTGAGATCTCATTGGCCAGTGCTTTGTGATGAGGTTGGCTGTGTCCTCTCCCTCTGCTACAAGTGGGGACGTACTGGGCCTTGCTGGTAACTGCTCTTTCTGGAAGAGTTTCCCTCTCAGCCCCATGATGGAGAGCTGTCCAGAGCATTCCTGTTTCCCCTCTATTTTGCAGCTGGCTTACTATAAATTTCCCTGTTGCTGGGCCTTAAACTGGTCACCAGCTTGTAACTGCCAAATTCTCTGTAGTGTTACAGAGATTACAGGCTGGGAGACAAACCTGGGTCTCAGGTAAATGTAGCTGAATTGCAGCTGACTTCACTGGAAGCTCCTTTTCTGAATGGTGACAGGTGTTGGTTTGTTGTATTTTTTTTTCTGGGGTATGTAGAACATCATCTTATGGAGCCTTTATCAGTACCTTGGAGATGGGGAAGAAAATAACAGTGAGAAATTTAATCACACATTTCCTTTTTAAGATTAATGACTGGAAAGCAAAGCTGGACCAGATGCTGCCCTCCCCTCTGGACATCATTGAGGCTTGGCTTCAGGAGGTGGAACGTCTGCAGGCAGAAGATTTGCCTGATGTGCAGGACCCATTTGAAGCAATGTCTGTCTTCAGAGGAATAATTGTAACATTTAAGGTATGCTGATCACAAAGGAACATTCTGCTTCAGTCTGACCTAGCAAAGCACTTGTTATGGAATTGGTATTTGACATTTTAGGAAGTGGTGTGGGTATGTTTATCTTCTGAAGATGAAAAGCTCTTCTGAACATACCTTTGAACAATGATGAGTTTAATTAAATAACTGCATGAGACTGTATGGAAGGTTTCTGACTTCACTGGGGTGAGATTAAATTTGAGTCCTATCTGAATGAGTAAATTATTATATTCTTTTTATGTGGCTCCTGCAACTTGTTGTTTGTTAAGTAATAACAGAGTAATTACACCCTTATCTTTAAATCTTAAAATCTTAATGTATACATATTCAGAAAAGCAATTGAGCTCAGGGTTACATTCCAGTGAGTTCACAAAGTTTGTGTTTAAAGTTAAGTATTTGCTGAAATCACCCTGTAATTCCTTTTAAAGCAATGGGAGGTATTTTGATACCTGGGCACCATGGAAGTTATTTATTCTGATCTTGAAATCTTTACACTGATAGTAGTTTAAACATCCTTTTGAGTTTGAAGACTTTGAAAAGAGTTAGATAATGCTGTACTTGTATTTTTATGAGCAAGGGAGAAGTTGGATGCTTTTGTGACATGTCCTTAAAGAGAATTTGAAAGAGTGGGAAATAGAGGTTCTACAAGTGGCTTGATAACACCACTTTTTTTGTACTGTTGCTAGCCAGTTCCTGATACAAGAGATGGCTTTTTAACTGATAACAGCTTTGCCAGACTTTAGCCTTTTGATCCTATAATTTTTGTTCTTCAGCCTAAGTAGTTAAAGCATTTCTAAGAATGAGACAAGAACAGAGATGTTGTTCATTTAGGGGTTTATTTTCTCCCACTGAACACGTAGATAAAATAATTAAGTCCCTTAAGAAGCTGCAACCCAGGATACTTAATTTCTATCAAATCTCCTTTTCGTGATGGGAGGATATTCTGCTGAGAATTTTTCCCTTCTCCTTCCTCTGGTCAGTCCTTTTACTGTCTCATGTAGGGATCTTGTTGCCAAAGTAGTACATTATAATGGAATTTTTACTTTCTCTTAAGATCTAGGACATTACCCACCAATGCTCATAACTGAAGGCTTCCCCAGGATTTAGCCATTTCCATTAACATGCTTTGGGACAGGTTTTATGACACAGAAATGAACTTTTAGCATATTTCTTTATATGCCACTTATGAATATGCTTATATTCTGTGCGATGCATTTTATGTTTTAGTTTACATGAGGAATTTGGTGCTGAGATGTCCATAAAATATTCCCCAGTCGTGTGATACAGGCCATCAGAGGGTTAAGGTAATAAGCTATCAAGAGTAGTGTTAGATGGAAATTTATTGAGCAGTCAAATGAAGTATTAGGCAAGTGTGGCATAATAGGTTTATTCAACAGGTTTTGCTGTCAGTCTTTGCTAACACATAGCAGAGAAAGACTTAATATCCTAAAATGGTTGCAATGGCTCTTTTTTGTCCTAAAGATGATAGTGAAAGTGCAGAAAAAACTAATAGCTCAGGTAGTGTAGATTCATGTTCCTATTAAATGAGATGCACAGTGATAAGAGAAATCAGGTAGTACTGCATTAAATAGGCACTTTAGAAGGTGATGAGATAAATACTTTCATTGCACTCTAATAGGTAAAGACACTAGAAGACTATCTTGTGCTGACTAGCTCTTAATAGCTCTCACCCTCATGGCAGGTGACTTGCAGATGCCCCGATGAAATACTCTAGATGAAAAATAATGGCTTGCTATGTCTTTTTTTCCCTAGGACTTGATGGATTGTTTTGATTCACACTTGGACACCTTTCAATCATTTAAGAATGAAGATGAGAAGAATATGCCACTAGTCTTGCCTGAAAAGTTAGAGGAAATGAAAAGAAGGTTGTGATTCTCAAATCCCCTCTATTTTGGCTACATTGTGTTCTAGCTCTGCTATTCACTTGCTCTGCTACTCTGAACAAAGCACAAAATTTATCCCTGCCTTGCAGAAGAAGAGTGTTTTCCACCTAAGCACAGATTGACTGTCATGCAGAGCATGCAGGTTCACTCACTGGCCCAAAGAATGTCTAATTATGTGTAGAAAGTGGAGCTCATTAACAGGAACTTTTCAGGTGCTTTTTTCTGATGTGGATAGGAAACAACCCCTAGGAGTAGGAAACATGAATATTTTGAATGTAAAATTTTCTCTGGGGATGTGAATTGTCTAATTTTTAATTTTTACCTTCTAAAATTGCTGAGAGGTGGGGGTTGTGTAACCTCCATATTTCTGTTGGAGAATTTTTTAAAAAATGACCAGTGATTTGTGTCTAACATGAGACTCTGACATATAGATGACAGATGCCCCTATTCTGGGAATTTAAGGTTTTTCATAAATTGAGCAGTCAATATTAACTCAAAATTGTTGCTACTCAAAATAATGAACTGTTGTTACCTTAAAATTTTACTCCTGTCGTAACAAAATAATGTTAACATATATGTAATTCTTAGTTTTTAGACTAAAAAGTGTTATATATTAATACCTTCTCTATCCAGTGATTTTGGAACATTTCACTGTTTGCAGATTCAGCAATATTAATGTCACGAATTCCAGCACCTTTCTTGAATACCACTATGGACTGTGTTCAGCAATTGCCAAACAGGTTATGTTAAAGTTAAACATCTGGGACATGAAATATGGGACAAAAGAGTCTGTGGAATCACTGCTGGGAAATTGGAATGTAAGTTCAAAATATATGTATCACACACTGACAGTAATTCTTCTTCACCACCTCTCTGTCATTCAGTCTTGTGTCTGTCCTCATCTGAAGATACTACAGTAGCTGGTAGAAGCATAGCAGACTTGTGAGATCCGAGATTTAGGCGAAGAAGGCCAGGTGGACTTCTACAGAAGCTTCCTCCATGCCTTTCTGTTTTCTTCTGAATTAGAGTTCTTTCTTCAGTTTGAAGAAATAAAATGAGCTTTGACTGTAATCTTCCTCTCTGCCATTTTTTATTCTTTATTAGAAAGATTTCTTTCTTTCTAGACTTTTTATAGGGCCAGCAGTAGCAGCCTTTCCCTAACTCAAACCCTCTGGACTAGTTCAGTGGTTGCTATCTTCAGAAACAGCTGTTACCCATAGGGCTGGCTAGAGTTGCCTCTGCCTGAGTTTATTGATCCGGATGGTTTCATAAACACTTTACTGTCATGTTATGTCTACAACTGTGGTTCACGGTCTTTCTCAAGCTGATAGAATATAGAGCTTTCCCTAGTTCCAGGCTTGTTTCTTGCTCTCCTTCTTGTCCCATGATATGCAGTCCTGGCTGAGTGGTGGTGTGGTGGCCCAGATTTGTCACGGCCACGGGAGAGGTTGTTTTGTAGTCTGCTAGATAGGGTGTTTGCAGGACATTTGTAGGAGTGGGGAGCTCTGGGGCAAGATGCAGCTCAGACAGAGGGGGGCTGAGGATCAACTCTCCCACTCCCTGTGTGAATGTTCAAAGCACAAAGCACTGCTCTGCTCCCCTTTCTTCCTCTCTCACCCTTTCTATCCCCAGCTGGGACCTTGATCTGTGGCAGGAATTAGGCATGTCGATATTTCTGTGCATGCCTGGAAACCCACCTTTCACTTTCATAACTTTTTTGACTTGCATGACTAAATTCTGCCTGACTGGTTCTAGGTGCCATTTCTCAATATTGCTCTAGGGTCTTAACTCTTTGGAATTAAGAGCCCTAACTCATGCAGGGCTGTGACTCAGGCAATGGCATTAAGGAGTTAATATTCTCATTGAGGTTATGCTCTGCATATAGTAGAAAAACCAACAGGTCTGTTCCAGACTGAAGGGTGCAGATGAATTTCTAAATGGGCTTTGCTGAATTTGTTTAACGTGCAGGTTATAAGTTTATATTGAAAAGAAAATGTATCCCAAACTGTATTTGCTATTTAGTTTCATGTATGTTAGTGTTACCTGTGCCAATTACTTTTCACTTTGGGCAGAATTTCATTGAAGAAAAGAGACTTGAAATGCAACTAGAAACTGCTGTTCACATCTGTGAAGTTTTGAAAAACAAAACCATAAGCAATCGTGGCTTAGGTAAGTTTGTGCACATAAACTGATATGAAGACCTTTATTTTGAACTGGTGCACTACTGACAGTTTTATTTACCTTACACTTATGTTTTCTGGAAAATTACTGCTTCTGTGTAATTAACCTCTCTGTTGCCAAATGTGTAATGATATTCCCTGTTTGATGTCCTAGCTGAAGATCCTCAAGAAATTAGCAAACTTTTTAAGACAGTGGAGTTGAAGATTTCTATGTGCAGAGACTATATTTCCAATGTAAATAGTACCCTACAGAAAGTCCTGTCTTCCTGGAGAAATTATGCAGAAAACATCCATTTACTAAAGACATGGCTGGAAGAAAAACGAAATGAGCATCAAAAAGAGGTGTGTGGTTGGATTTCTCTTTGTAATGAGAGAGATACTTGGAAGCCCCCTGGAAGAAAAGTGTTATACATGACAGTGGTGGTGGTTGTTGCTTTTCTATTCCTCATTTTGGAAATAAACTTTCAACAGGGTTCTGCTTTAAATGATTTCAATGCCTCTGTCTAGATCCCTGCTGAGATCCTGGCAAAGTGGAATTCTGTTCACGGCTCCTTAAATGAAGCTGGAAACTATCTAATTGAAGTCAGCAAAGAGCAAGTTGGATCAAATATTGCCAAAGAGCTGAAGAAACTCAACAGGAGATGGGCTAAGTTCATCAAGAGGACACGCTTTGTAAGTGTACTAGTTTTATATGATTCTTGCCATGCAGCCTTCAAAGTCATATTTTCTAGACTTACCAGCTTGCTAATTGGAGATAAAGTCTTTCAGTCAAATCAAAATTGCCAGTTCTAAAAGAGGAACAGAGAATACACAGAAGTACCCCATTCTTAAGCCTTTGTCACTCAGTTAAATGTTCTTTATGACTTGATGGAAAATGTTCAACTTTTAAAATGGAAATTTTAAAACCATTTATAAAAGCAAATCTTGTTGCAGAGGAAAGCCTTTATTCAGTTTTAGAGATAGAATTGATCAATTTGGTAAGAGCTTGTGATCCTTTGATAAATTCTATAATCTCTGCCTTAGGTATTAGAAAATAATTATTGCTGCATAGATCTTTCTAGGGTTGTGCAACTTTACACCAGCTCATCTGACAGGTTTTTAGTCTGCTGTAAATTCCTATACAACCTGCTTAATATTATATATGTTACGTTTCCTAGAATGCTTTCACAAAAATGACATTTTCATTCTGCCTTGGAATATTAGAGCTCCTAATTTTCTAAGTTGAACCTTTTGTTGACATTTATGAAAGGTATTGATATGACAATAAACTGTGGTAAAAAATGACATTTTTGTCAGAGATGAGCTTAGTGAGAATGCAAGAAGGTCAAAGGAAATGTGTTCCCAAGTGTTTGGGAAGTCCAGAATTTCCTAGAAGAACCCTTAGTAAGAGATGCTTTTAGGAAACACATTCAGACAGCAGAGATAAAGGGCCTCTTGCACATTTACAAGGGCTTAAGGACTTCAAGAGTTATTTTTTCAGCGTTGCATTGGACATTATGGCTATAATAGATATCTTTTTTTTGTATATAGAAAGGCAAGATTGAATCATAGCATCGTAGAATGGCTTAGGTTGGAAGGGATCCTAGAGATCACCTAATTCAACCTCCCTGCCTTGGGCAGGGACACCTTTCAACTAGACCAGATTGCTCAAGGCCTCATCCAACCTGACCCTGAACATCTCCAGGGAGGGGCATCCACAACCTCTCTGGGCAACCTATTCCAGTGTCTCACCACCCTCCTACTGAAGAACTTCTTCCTAAGATCTAGTCTAAACCTACTCTCCCTCAGTTTAAAACCATTTCCCCTTGTCCTGTCATTGCACACTCTTGTGGAAAGTCCCTTTCCAGCCTTCCTGTAGGTTCCCTTCAGGTACTGGAAGGCAATTCTAAGATTCCCCCCTGGAGTCTTCTCTTCTCCAGGCTGAGCAATCCCAGTGCTCTCAGCCTGTCCTCATAGCAGAGCTTTGCCCTGTGACTCCCAGTACCATTAAAGTGTTAGCACACTCCCTGGTCTGGATTTGACCAGTGCCAGCTCTTTTCTCTTGGACGATTCCCCGGCGTGGCCTGGGGGGTGCTGCAGCCCAGGAGTTAGTCTCTGTAACAGCGTGGCTGTGGCTGCTTGCCTATAGAGGAAGGAGTGGCCATAGGGGCACAGGCCGTGCTGTCCCCCTGCTCCCAGAACTCAGAGAACTAAGCCTCACACTGTTTCTCTCAGTGCTGTTTCATGCCCTCATCCATGACATAGGCAGTGGGATCGAGGGCACCCTCAGGAGGTTTGCAGATGACACCAAGCTGGGTGGTGCAGCTGACATGCCCGAGGGATGGGATGACATCCAGAGGGATCTGGAGAAGCTTGAGCAATGGGCCTGTATGAACCTCATGAGGTTCAACAAGGCCAAGTGCAAGGTCCTGCACCTGTGTCAGGGCAATCCCTGGTGTCAGTGCAGGCTAGGGGATGAAGGGATTGAGAGCAGCCCTGGGGAGGATTTGGAGGTGCTGGTGGATGAAAATTTGGACATGAGCTGGCAACGTGAGCTTGCAGCCCAGAAGGCAAATCACTGTATCCTGGGCTGCATGAAAAGAAATGTGACCAGCAGGTTGAGAGAGATGATTTTGCCCCTCTGCTCTCTGCTGGTGAGACCCCACCTGCAGTGCTGCATCCAGCTCTGGTGTCCTCAGCACCGGGAAGACTTGGACCTGTTGGAGCAAGTCCAGAGGAAGCCAGAAAAACAATCCAAGGGCTGGAACACCTCTGCTGTGAAGCCAGGCTGAGGGAGTTTGGGTTCTTGAGCCTGGAGAAGTCAAGTCTCTGGGGAGATCTTGTGGCCTTTCAGCACTTAAAAGGGGCCTGTAAGAAGATGGGGACAAAAGTTTTAGCAGCATTGTTTGTGACGGGACAGGGGGGATGGTTTTAAACTAAAGAAGAGGAAATTTTAGCTAGATATATGGAAGAAAATTTTTACACTGAGGGTGGAGAGACACTGGCCCAGGTTGCCCAGAGAGGTGGTAGAAGCTCCATCCTTCGAAATATCACAGGTCAGATTGGGCAGGTCTCTGAGCAACCTGCTCTAGTTGAAGATGTCCCTGCTCTGTGCAGGCGGGTTGGACTGGGTAATCTTTCAAGGTACCTTCCAACCCAAACTAGTCTATGATTCTGTGATTATTTACCAATATGTTTGGCACTTATTTCTCCTTCAATCCCTACTAGGGGCAAAAGCTGGGAAGTAACCTAAGCAGTGACTGTATGTTGCAGGAAGGTAGGGAAGAGACCCATGAACAGATGACAAGAGTGAATGTCTTACCCTGCTCTTTTTTTATAGCTTGGTGAAGAGAGCACAGATGCTGCTGAAAAGGCGAGGGAGCTTCCAGGGAGCCTGGAGAAAATTGAAGAGGTCCTTGGAGGGGTGGAGAGCTGGGCAGCAGAGACTGGATGCCTGCTTAGTGAGATCGGTCATGATGGTGCTGTGGAACCTGAGATGGAGGAGCATTTGCAGGTGAAATTGGAAATAGACTGTTTAAAATACTTGCTCATCAGATTCTCATCTTGCAGCGTGGATTTGTGGCTGGGTAAAATGAGGCATCATCAGTGAAGCAGAAATGAACATGGATTTTTTGCTGTAATGCTGGCAAAATGTCAAGGCAATGCTAGTGTTTTGTTGTTATTTCTCAGGATGGCTCCCAGATGAGCTATAAATTGCTTTTCTAACGTCAGTGTGTCCAGGTGACAAGCAGGTGCCAATGAAGTGTTGTTGGTGCCACTGATCAGCAGCTTGATCCTGAATTATATGAATTACCCCCTGTCCTGAACAGTGTTTGCAGCAGGCCAAAACTTTGCACAGTACCAAACTGAGAATTCCCCTTGGCCATACAGTGCTTTCTGTCATCTACCCTCCAGTGCAGGGAGAAGGTTTGGGACACCTTAGCTGTATTCAAGGCTTACCTGTCAAAATTTTCAGCAGCATACTGGGTACTTAGAGCATCTCAGCCTATAGGCATTTGCCTTCTTGCACTGTGTTTAGTTGTCAGGAGTGTGAGCCTATTAAAATAATCTATTTGTCTTTTTGTAATTGTGGGCACATGTTTATAAAGCAAGCCTTACTTTTTCAGTGTGACACTAGTTTGTTAAAAACAATGAAGTAACAAAAGACACCCTTCTTTAGAAGCTGAAATACAGCTTCTAAAAACATGACTAATGTCATGTCTCCATGTCTGTGAGCAGAAGAGATCAGGTTGCTTATTACCTGTGGTACAATAGGTTGAGATCCAGAATAAAGCACTGATTATCATTGGAAGAATGCAAATTGACAGCTTCAAACAGGAGAACATGTTGAATATTCATGGATCAAAACAGTTCTCATAACAACATTTCGTGATAAATATTCAAACATGGCACTCTACTTTTGCATGCAAAATTCTCCACTGCTTCCTGCCTCTTAGTACTGAATACCACAAGAAAATCTGAGCCTTGATATCTGCTTACTTTTGGATGACTTCATGATCAGACAATTAATATCCAAATGTGTGGTTTGTACGTTCATTTGGAAAGCTGTCTGGATAGGAGAAAGTGTTGGAAAAAATACTTCTAATTGGCTATGAGGCAAAGACATGGGAGGTATCACATTGACAGAAAGACTGCTTCAAGAACCAGAATCCCCTGTGGATGGCAGCACATTTCTTTCTCTTTACACAGAGATTTTGCAGAGCAATTCACTGACCATAATTGAAATATAAGACTTTTCTTTGACTAAATATTGACCATCCATTATCAATGCTGGCTTTTTTCATTCAGTGTGTTTAAACAGACAGACATAAATACTGTTTTAATGCTTTTCACTCAACCAGAGCTTGGCTGCAAGGGGAACCTCATGCCAGGAACAAGTAGTGGCAGCAGAAGAGATATTGCAATCTCTGATGAAAAATGTTTCAAGTGAGTTGTCCCAACAGCATTCTCACACCATGGGGCTGCAGGCACGAATTAAAGAAGCCAGAGACAGAATAGAGGTATTCCTTTTTTATTGTTACTGTATTTTATGTTTTGTACTGTTGGAATCAGTCTCCCAGACTCTTACCAGGACAAAATGTAGAAGACTTCAAAGATCAGTACTTCAACTCAAAAAACTTGAGTGATGTTATGAAGCAATACTTTTATGTAGTTACTGGCACTCAGGCATGTTCTGAAGAGAGTCTCTTTCTTCCAAGGCTGTCTTGGGTGACGTGAACAACATCTTGTCCAAATCTGAGAAGACACTCTCAGAGAAGGAGGCTTTACTCAATTTTGAAGAATCCCAGAAAGAACTTGAGGCCTCCATTTCAAAGGCTGTGCAACTTATCAGTCAAAAATTAAGCCCTGAAGAATTTATTTCAAAATATGAGGTGAGTTTGTTTTCTGAGCTAGCTGAATTTGAGTATTTCTTAGTGCTGTTTAATTTGTAAAAGCCTGAGGCACCGCAGTGAGAAAAATACAAGATTTTTTTTTTTCTTTTTGTGATGTTTGAGAATCCTGTTTTCCCTGGTGGGTGGAACTCTCAGATCTGAAGGGAGGAGTATGTGCTAGCCTGGACTATGCCCAGCTTCACCCCCAGGGGCAGGCTGGAATGAGAAGAGGTGAAGACCTGTTCGTTCTGGCACGTGGCAGTGGCCATCTTAGGATTTGGGCCTGTTCTCCAAACTCATTCCCTGCCTTCATCCACACCTAAGAACTACCTTGTTACCCCTGTAATCTTTTTACCCCGTTAATCCTTACCCTTCTTCCTTTCTGTTCCCTGTTAAATAATAGATTTCATTTTTAATTAACTTCCAATGGGTGCAAAGCCTCCATTACCCCTGCCTTCTTTTGTTTATCTCTTGACCTGGGAAAGCAAAGGGATAGGGAAGGGGGAACACAAATTCTGCTCTGTGGGGTCTGCCCTGAGCCCTCTAAACAGAGACACTTTGGTAGTTATTAATGCTTTTCTCAGCTTTTTGATTTAGCATATGTTTATTAACTTGGCAGACAGCTTGAACGAAGAAATATAAACTTGTATGGCAGTTTATTCAGTGCTCTGTTTTAACTGAAATTACTCCATCATCCCATCAGAATTCACCAGGTTCTGAACTACAGCCTTTTTTTTTTTCCTGATTAATGATTAAGATTCCCATCAAGAATTGCATACCTGAGTTCTTGGAAAAGTTTTTAAAGCATGATGAAAAGTACTGAATCTCCTCTTTCTTCCAGTGGTAAAGGAAGTATCCAATTGCAAAATCTGGATCTCTTAAGGGGATCCTTAGTGAGGTGTCAACCCGGGACATCTGTGTGGTCTGCGTGCTATGTTAGTGCTTGGACTTAATGATTTTAAAGGTCTTTTCCATCCTAAATGATTCTATGACTCTGTATTCCCTAGAAATCATGGAATTGTATAGGTTTGAAAAAACCTTCTAGATCATCAAGTCCAACCATAACCTAAGTCTATCAAGTCCACTGATAAACCATGTCCCCAAGCACCATATCTACATGACTTTTAAACATGTCCAGGGACAGCGAATCCACCAGTCCCCTGGGCAGCCTGGTAAGCCTGTTAAATGATGCAAAATTCAGGGACCTTGATCTATCTTCTTTGCTACTAAATTTGCCTGTAAAAGAGAAATTACAATAACATCAGCTTTTCTCCAAAAAGCATACACTGATACATTGTCTGTAACCTTTTGCAGATATGCAGGGGTGGAGCATGCCCTCATACTCACCCATGTAAGGGCCACCACAGCAATGTATACATGCTTTATGCAAGCAGTCTTATGCTACTGTCATAATTTTATTAGGCAAATAAGCTACATTCAGTTCTGTTTATTTTTAATTATGACACTTTTCTTGCAGCAAACTTTTCATGCTCTGGACAATAAAGTTCTTGACAAATTTTTGAAAGCAGCTGAACAACTGAAAAATATTTCATCTGATCACGAAAAGCTGGTAGTGGAAGAAAAGAGTAAAGATGTTCGTAAAAGATGGGAGGTGAGATAATACAAGAAGGAGAATCCACTGTCTGTTCTCATTAGGCCTGGCATCTCTGAAAAGGAGTTTATTTTTTTGTCACAATATGTTCTGAGGCTTTTATTTACTTTGTACTGCTGTCTTACCATCTCACAGGGACAATGTGTTTTGAATTTTGCAGGCTGTTCGTCGTGAAATTATGTCCTATGTCCAACTCATAGTGGAAAGGGAAAAAAAGAAATTTAATGCAACTTTAAAAAAAATCAACAAGCAATTATGCAAAGAGAAGAAACTCCTAAGTATGGATAAAACCAAAGGGCTCATCAAGGAACATGAGGTACCTGCAACGCTCCTTTTCTGTTCACCTAGGTCTTTTTGTGAATGTTTTGTCTGTACTTTTTGTTCCTTTTAAGGTTCATTATTGCAACCTGTTTGTGGGACAGAGTACTTGTGCCATATGTTATGTAAACACAGAACAAAGAGGCCACCTAAAGCATTACTCTACCTTTTTTTGGCTGTAGATATTAGGCTCTTTGCAGACTTTTAGAATGAGGTCCTTGTTATGTGGAAGGTTTTGGTTTATTTTTTTTAAAGACAGCCTTGAAGCATTAAAACAAATTTAGCTGTGTGGAGTGTAAAAATAAGAAATGATTACATGTTCTGTGACTCCCTTTGCTTGTTATGGTTGCACAAATGGTGCTAGGTGCCTTCAGGTGAGAGTATCTTCTCACAGAGCAACAGCTCCACTTTACCTCTGCTTGTGCTCTATATAAATTAACCACAGAGTTAGACATAAGCCGTTCCTCTTTCACTTGCCAGGGTGATTTGTGGTGAATCTTGCATATTCCTTAAACATTGGGTTTACACTTCAATGTTTCTAGTATTTTCTTTCTTCTTCCTCTTTGAGATGCATTGTTGTCACCAGTTCACCCTTTATGAGGGTAAGAAATTGCTCTCCTGATGAAATTTTGGTCTTCACAGAATTCAGTGGAGTTTTAGTCTTTGCTTCCCCTGGGCTCATGTTCAGGAAATATTACGTATGGAAGAGCAGAGAGAAATAAGCATCTCAGGTGCATCCCTTCTGCTTATATTTTTGTTAAGAGTTTTAGTATTTCTTGATTTCACCCTAGAAAGTAAAATATTGGATGGGGAGTATTTAAAAGAATTCTCCAGTTCTCCATTTTCTGTATACAGCTGGATATGTATCTGATGTCAGTGTGAAGAGGACTTGGGACCAAAGTAACTGAAATTCTAGTAACGTAATGAATTTCAAAATCAAGGAAGAGTCAGTATAGTCTTCTGAATGCAACTGGGGAATATGCCAGAATACCTAATTTCTTTCCTGGCTCTATCTGAAAAAGAACCAAGGGGGAAATAAATGTTTCTCTCCTTGTTTGACAGCTTATGCTTTAAGTGCACTTGTCCAAGAAGACAATGGAAATAGAAGAAAATGTGTGAGAATAATTGCATATCCTCATGACAGTGACATGCATTTATTATATTGTTTTTCTTTGTTTAGACCTTTTTTTCACACGAAGGCAGCATGAGGGAACTTAACAAGTCATTAGAAGACCTTAAAATGCTGGGAAGACTATCAGAAGAAGCTGTCCCAGACATACAGACACTGGCTGCAGACTGTGAACAAAAGCTAGAAAAGCTTCAACAAACTGTTGCAGACACTTACATGGCCCTGCTGGCTCATGCTGGAAGAGGACAGTTGTCTAAGAGAGAGTGGGTGACTGAGTGCACAATGTGTTCTTGCTTCAAAGAAATCAGATATACAAATAGATTTTGTGCTATTGTGAATGTACTAGTAAAAGTATGTAACTATGTACATTACTATGGTTGACTGTACATTTACACATATAGTATTACATTTTATAAACTGACAAGTAAAATGTTTGATTACTCTTCATTACAGCTATACTAGTTCTAATCTTTAGCCAGGATTTCTTTTTTTTCATTTGTATTTCTTATTTTGATCTTAAACTGAAGTATCTTTTAAACCATAGGAGCTCCATTGTTCCTTCTGAGAACAGAGAAAAGCCTGGTTCTTCTCAACAAATTGATATCTGTTCAGTACAGGAGGTAAGAAGTCCATACTTACTGTTAGAAAACAGTGCTCTGGCTAGGGAGGTCATGGGCAAAAGGAAAAACTGATCATTTCTGTTACTACTCTTATTGTGGTATGACCTGAGGCCTCTGGTCAGACATCAAAAATCCATTGGTTGCATTAAAATTTTAAAAATAGCTTGCAGGGAACAGCACTAGGCATCCCAAAGAGATGTGAGCCTCCAGCCTTGCACTGTATTTTGCTGAAGAGTCATTTTCAGCTGAGAGGGTCTTGCATGAAGCTGTGTTCAACTGCAAATCCCATGTAGCATCCCAGTAATTTGAACAAGTTTCAGAAGATGGGGAAAGGAAAAATAGTGAAGAGTTGGAGGCATTTGCTTTACAAAAATACAGGGAAATCCAGAACACATGCATCTTCTTAGAAATCACTTCAGAGAGACAAGATACTGTGGTTCATAATTTGGATGCCACAGAAGATGTCTCATTTAGGGTAAACATTCATGCAAGAAAGGCTGCAGAAAGCTCATTGGCCTCCAGACTGGTGGTTTATAGGAAGGGACCCACTGCTTTTACATGAAGTTTGAAGACATGTAGGAATTGGCTATTACAAAGTGAGATCTCTTGTAAGGTGTGGTGGTTTAAACCACTTTTATTGTTCAGGGGCAGGTTCAGCAAAGGTGACGGAAAACTGAACAAAATCAGCAGCAAATAAACAGTTTATTACAAAAAGGGTTGAACAGGGAAAGGCGGGATACCCCAAAGGGACCCCAAAATTATACTGAGAAATGTGGTGACAAGTATGGAAAGA